TGAGGTTCCACAAGGAGAAGTGCAGAATCCTGCTCCTGGGAGGGAAGAATCCCAAGTATTGTTACAGGCTGGGGACCGACTGGCTAAGTAGCAGTTCTGCAGAAAAGGACCTGGGGGTTACAGTGGACGAGAAGGTGGATAGGAGTCAACAGGGCGCCCTTGTAGCCAAGAAGGCTAATGGCATATTAGGGTGCATTAGGAGGAGCATTGCCGCAGATCTAGAGAAGTGATTATTCCCATTTAGTCGGCTCTGGTGATCCTACATCTGGAGAATTGTGTCCATTTCTGAGCCCCCCACTATAGAAAGGATGCGGACATATTGGAGAGGGTCCAGCAGAGGGCGACCAATCTGATTAGGGGGCTGGAGCACTTGACCTGTGAGAAACTAAGGGATTTGGGTTTGTTGAATCTGCAGAAGAGAGGAGTGAGGGGGGATTCGGTAGAAGCCTTCAACTTCCTGAAGGGAGGTTCACAAGAGGATGGAGAGAGGCTGTTCACAGTAGTGACAGATGCAGAACAAGGAGCAATGGGCTCAAGTAGCAGTGGGGGAGGTCTAGGTTGGACATTAGGAAAAACTATTTCCCTGGGAGAGTGGTGAAGCGCTGGAATATATTGCTTAGGGAAGTGGTGGAGTCTCCATCCCTAGAGGTTTTTAATTTGTGGTTTGACAAAGCCCTGGCTGGGTTGATTGAATTGGGGTTGGTCCTGCCTTGGGCATGGGGCTGGACTTGGTAACTCCTGAGGTCTCTTCCAGCTCTGTCATTCTTTAGTTCTATGAAAAATTACAGTTTAAACATAAAAATTTGGCAAACCTAAAAGCAACTGTAAAAGAGCTGTCTTCACAGACAGTTCAGAGGGGGAGCCGAGTGAGTCTGTAACAGGAAAAACTTAAAAAACAACCAATAGTCTCACAGCACCTTAAAGTCTAACAAAACATGGAGATGAGATCATGGTATTTCATGGGTAAAACCCACTTCTTCAGATGACTGGAGGTTGGCGGCCCTCAGTAAAGTCTGTTCCTCCAGCGACCTTCAATGGTCAATCCATTTGTTAATCCCATTCTCCTTAGCTCATTGCTCTTCTTGTGACTGTGGCATGAAGTTCCACAGGCCAATGAGAGATCAGGCCAACTGTTGTCTTTTCACCATGTTATACGTTCCAGCCTTCCATGTAATTGGAGAATGTTCCTTAGCTGGCATGTGGGGACATGCAGGGACTATTTAAGACAGATTCTATTTTCTGTATTGATGGATTCATGGGCTTGAAGAAGAAAAGGAGCCATTAGATCATCCAGTTGGACCCACTGCAGAACACTGGCCATTGATTTTAGCCAGGTACCCCTGTAATAAGCTCTGTGACTGGATACAGCTCTTCAGCCAAGGCCTCCCCAGTGTGACCCAGAGCTGTCCTGTCCCCGCCTGTGACCTACATGTCCAGCCACTGTTAATTCAACCGCAAACTGTATTTTCTTTTTCTGGCCATCAGCTAAAAATCCTCCCTTCTGAGAGGTGCAGCTGTAGCGAGTTCTCCCTGGACAGGCAGCACGAGGTTAATGAAGAATCCTTTCAAACGCTTATCCGCCATCTCTGGGGGGGTGGGCTACCCATGCCGAGGGGAGCCCTGCAGTCAGTGTCGGTTGTATTTATGATGCAGGGCTACAGCGAAGCTGCTGTACCTCTCTCGTCTAGTCGAGGCCTCAGGCAGACGCATCCCGTCTGGGTCTGCAGAGATGGGGAGCTGAAGCATTCCCCATTGGCAGTGTGCCCCAGTGGCTACTCACCCTCAGAGCTAAAGCTTCAGCCCTTATTTCCCTCAGGAATGTGTCTGACTTCAGCTTTCAGTCCAAGGCCCTCACTCAGCTCTTCCCGTGAGGCCCCCTGAGTCTCTCCCAGTGAAATTCTTAGCTTGGTGATCAGTTAAGTGTCTCTCAGCCTGCCATTGTCTTCCACCTACCATTGATTTTATGGCTTTTTCCTGCAGCTGCCCAATATCTCAATATCCTTTGTGAAACGTGGCGCCCAGGCCTGGATGCTGGACCTCGTCCATTCCTCCAGTGCCGTGTGCAGAGGCAAAAGGTTGTGGGGAGCCGGGCTCATGCCAACACACTATTTCCATAGAGTCAAATCCATCGTTATTGTCCCAGAGCCAGGGCATCAGGTCCCACGTCACTCAAGGGCTCTTTATGAGGCAAGACTGGGACCCTGAGTGGCATGTCTGCCAATATTTGGCATGTCTGATAATTTTGTGTCTAGGTTTTTTAGTTGCTTCCAGGTCGTTCATAAAAATAGCAAAGTTCCTTAGGCTTCAAGGTGACCCCTGCAGATTCCAATGCTTCCCACTAGAAGCATCCCGATCTGTCAGCCAGTGAGGGTCGAGTCTGTGTTCCACTTTCAATTGGCTGTTGTGTAGGGTTCGTGTTTAATAGGTCTCGTTCCCAGCACTAAATCACATGCATCAGTGAGATCAGCATTGATTGCAGCTGGGCAGTTTCCTTGATCAACCACATGTGTGCTCTCCTTCAAGAATGAAATCAGATTGATTTGACAAGACGGGGTCTCCAAAAACCCTGTGCTTGCCTGGCATTCATTAGAATCCTAGAAATTCATTTTAAACTGATTCCATAACAACCTTTCCATTGTTTCCTAATCTTGGGAAAATGTTTTGAAAATTCCATTTTTATAGACGTGATGTTTATCTCAGTATTGTCCCCCCTCTTTTTTTCTTCTCTCTGCATTTTCCTGGCTTCCTACTCCTTGTTCCAAGTGGGCTGTGGGATTGATTTGTCCATTCGTAACTCCTGGTCAGAACTCTAAGTTCTCCTGCAGACGTGGTTTAATAGCCCCTTTGGATGCTGATGGGTGGGAAAATATTTCCTCACCTCATGTGCTAGCTGTGTCTCATACGGCTTCCTTCCCCTCACAGCACAAAGCTATGGATTGATCATATCTAGGTTACCAGCAACACTTACAGCTTTTCTTTCTCTGGCTAAGGATCATCTTAAACTTCTCCTAGGGTTTGTTTTCTTCTTAATAGAGTTCCTAGGCCGCTTGGTGTGACACATGGCTCTGCCAAGGATTTTCACCTGTTCTCTTTAATGTCCCTTATTATAACATCCCCTTTTTATTCCTTGCGATCAATATTTCCCTTTCCTCTGTTATGTGTTGCTTTGCTGCTCCCCAACCTGTACCATTTGGTGCCTTCCATTTCCCACTGACCTGCATTTTAAGCCAAAGTTATTCACTTGGGCTATGTCTAGACTGCAAGCCTCTTTCGAAAGAGAGCGTCTAGACTGCATGTTGAACTTTTGAAAAAGCGGCTTGCTTTTTCGAAAGAAAGCATCCAGTGAGTCTGGATGCTCTCTTTCGAAGAAGCCCTATTTACATTGAAGAACGCCTTCTTTCGAAAGAGGAACTTTCGAAGGAAGGCGTTCTTCCTCGTGAAATGAGGTTTACCGCCATCGAAAGAACAGCCGCGTTATTTCGATTTAATTTCGAAAGAACGCGGCTTGAGTCTGGACGCAGGGGAAGTTTTTTCGGAAAAAGGCTACTTTTCCCGAAAAAACCCCTGAGTCTGGACACAGCCTTGGTTTCACTCAGGAATCATGAATTGGAGCTGTCTCAGAAATTCCCGAGAAGAAATCCCAGTGTTCATTCCCATTCTTCTGTCTAAATCAGGGGTGGGGGATCTAAAGCCCAGAAGCAAGATGTGATCCCCAGGTTGCCTGGATCTGGCCTCTGGGGCTCAGGGCTTCTCCTCACGGCCTTGGTGAACCCGCACTGTCTCTCCAGCCTTCACTGCCTCTGTCTGGAGTGATTTTTCTGTGGCCAGCAGCCCCCGACCCAAAGAAGGTTCCTCATCCCGGTCTAAAGGTTTCCGCTCAATCTCTCTTACTCACCCATTGGTGCAGCGTTGGGGTTTCCGCTCAATCTCTCTTACTCACCCATTGGTGCAGCGCTGGGGAGCTGGCATTTCTAGAGCACCGTCTATTGCACAGGGGGCCACTCCTAGGATTTCGCAAGTGGCCAAGGGCTGCACTCTTCCATGGTATGAAGGGAGGAGCTGTGGGGGTCTGGGATAGGGGCTGGGTGCAGAAGGGAGCTTGGGGTAAGGGAGGGAGTTTGGGTGCAGGAGGCCGTTGTAATCTGGAGCACTGGACTGAGGTGCAGGGGGTTGGTCTATGACATAGGACAGGGAATTGGGGTACAGGAGGGGGTGCAGGGATTAGAGTTGTGACGCAGGACAGGAGGGGACTGCGATCTGGGGCAGAGGATTGGGGTACTGGATCTGGGAGGGGATATGAGTTCAGGAGGGTGGAGCAGACCATATGGGTGTGTGGAGCAGGGGGGTAGAATTGGGGGGAAGAGAATTGGGGAAGGGAGGGGCTGGGCTCCCAGAGGGAGGCTCTGGCCAGGAGACTTATCATCCAGCAGCCCGTTCAGGAAATTAACCTCCTTCCTAACCTTCCTCTGCACTGGCAAAGACGTCAGCCCTTCTCTTTGAGGTGGGCACTAGCTGGGATGTTTCCCTTGGCACATGTCTTGGTAAAGTTGTTTTGATTATTTTCCACTCTCTGATGCTGAGTTGGTCACTTAATGGGGGATTCTCCACAGCACGGGCTCTGCAGCTTCTGTTTCTTGCATTCAGGAACTGGGCAAACACTCGTTATTTGCTGGTGGTTATGCAAGGGAGCTGGAATTACTGACACATGGAGCTCCAGAGAATATGGCCTGGGCCTTACTAAGTTTAGCTGGTCTTAACTCCTTTGTTTGAATAACAAAAATGTCATTTGCAGTGAGAAAGGAGTGACCAGCCTGCTTCCCCCATGAGAACATTCTCCTGTAACGCATGGAGTGTCTCATATTGACATTGTGTCTCCATCCAGGTATTTTTATTGCAACCATCACCTGGGACCCTGGGCACGTACCGGAAGAGAGGAGAATATAAGGTACTTGGAGGAGACTCCATTCTGCTTTAGTGTTGGAAGCCAGCTCCCGGACTCCATGTCAGATTCTAACACAACCTACTTCACCAACCCGTCCATCTTCATTCTGCTGGGCATCCCTGGCCTGGAGGCAGCCCATGGGTGGATCTCCATCCCCTTCTGTGTCATGTACATTGTAGCCATTTTGGGGAACATCACCATTCTGTACATCGTGAAGAGGGAGCAGAGCCTCCATGAGCCCATGTACTATTTCCTCTGCATGCTGGCCGTCACTGATCTGGTCCTGTCCACGTCCATTGTGCCCAAAACACTGAGCATCTTCTGGTTCAATTCTAGAGAGATCGCTTTTGCTGCTTGCTTTACCCAGCTGTACCTCATTCACTGCTTTTTAGTGATAGAGTCTGGGATCTTCGTGGCCATGGCTTTTGATCGCTACGTGGCCATATGCGATCCCCTGAGACATTCCACTATCCTGACAAATTCCATTGTAGCCAAGATCTGCGTGGCCGTGGTGCTGCGCGGCTTCATGATAATACTTCCCATTCCCATCATGGGGAGTCGGTGGCCATACTGCAGAAGCAACATCATCCCCCACTCGTACTGCAAGCATTTTTCTGTGGTGTCCCTGGCCTGTGCCGACATACGCCCCAGTAGTTACTACAGCGTCTCTGTGACATTCATTGTGCCCAGTGTGGATGGGTTTTTAATTGCCGTGTCCTACATCCAGATTTTCAGGGCCATCTTCCGACTGCCCACAAAGGACGCTCGGCTCAAGGCATTTGGGACCTGTGGGTCTCATCTCTGCGCCCTCTCAACCTTGTACATCCCCGATCTCTTTGTCTCCCTCATGCAGAGGGTTGGTTCTAATGTGCCCCTGCCTGTGCTCATCCTCATGTCCAATATGTACCTCCTGGTGCCCCCCATGCTACACCCCATCATCTATGGGGTGAGGACGAAGCAAATCCAGGACAGGTTGTTGTGGATAATTACTCAAAAAAGGGCCTAATGTTCATTTCAGACGCTCAGACTCTCAGACTCACTTCCATGCTGAGCTGACTGGTGACGCGATGCTGAATCGCTTGCTGGACAGTCAGACAAATCCTGAGTGCTTTCATAACCTGAGATTACAGGGTCAGCGTGAGAACCTGGGGGATCAGTCTAGGTACAAGTCATTGAGTTGCCTCCTTTCTTACTGCTTGAAATTGTTCCTGACTCTTTAGGAAAACGTTTCCACATGCTGACTGTGAAGAAATACCTCATGCTGTTTGTTTGATATCCTCTGCCTCTTGATTGGCTGACCCCCAGTTGTGTTTAGGAAGTAATAAATAATATTTCATTGTTCCATTTTTACACAAACTTTGTGACTTCATAGACCACTTCATATCCTCCCAGTCATCTCTTTTCCAAGTGGAAATGACACAATCTTTTAATCTCACCTTCTGTATTTTCTGTTCCATACCCCTAATTCTTTTCATTTCACTTTTCACTAACATTTCCAATTCTACAATGCATATTTTTTGAGAGGGGGCTATCAGATCTCCATTCACTTGTGCATAATGTAACACACTAAGGACAGCTGGCTCCAATAATTTGGTAGAGGAAAGACATGCCAGGAGCTGAGTGAATGGTTTCCACAACTTAGCCCTTTTTCTATCCATCAAGTCATCTCTTTTTCAGTCTGAGAAGACACAGTCTTTTTACTCTCTCCTTCTATAGAGTCATAGAGTCGTAGAGGTGGAAGAGAGCTGAGGAGGTCATCAAGTCCAGCCCCCTGCCCAAGAAAGGACCAATCCCAACTAAATCAACCCAGCCAGAGCTTTGTCAAGCCAAGACTTAAAAAACTCTAGGGATGGAGATTCCACCACTTCTCTAGGGAATCGATCCCAGTGCTTTCCCACCCTCCAAGGAAATAGTTTGTCCTAATATCCAACCAAGACCTGCCTCACTGCAACTTGAGACCATTGCTCCTTCTTCTACTATCCGTCACCACTGAGAACAGCCTCTCTCCATCCTCTTCGGTACCTCCCTTCAGGAAGATGAAGGTTGCTATGAAATCCCCCCTCACTCTTCACTTCTGTATACTAAATTTTCTCTGCAGAAATCTATGTAGTGCCCACTTATTGGACATTGCTCCTTCCTTCTGAAGCACCTTGCACTGGCCACTGTCGGATGTCAAGATACTGATCTAGAGGGACATTTCGTCTAACTCAGTAGGGCATTTCTTATGTTCTTACATTCACTCTGGTAGGGGATTGTGTGCAGGAGTAGATCTGTGTTTATATGAATCCGGGGACCTCTTCTGCAGCGGTGATTGTTGGAAATCTTGTTCATTGAAGTTCTTCCAAGGACAAAGGATCAGACACATCATCTTGCGGGTCAGTGAATAATTCATGTCTTCACCAAATACACACTTACAAGGAATTCTTACTATCTAAGGTGAGATTTATTAAAAACGAAGAGAGAGAGAGAGAGACAAAGAAAATATCATACAGGCATGAGTAGAGTTCTTAAGTTGGCTTCATAGCACATATATTGGGCTTCAGAGCTGCATAGAGTTTTTTCAAAATTAATCCATAGATTATAGTCTCATGTGAAAATACTCAATATCAGGATGGTCTAATCTGTACCTGGATATCACAGTCTTGTGACTCAAGCTTCCACTGATGAATCATAGAATCATAGCACTGCAAGGGACCTCAAGAGGTCATCAAGTCCAGTCCTCTGCATTCACAGCAGGACCAAGCACCATCTAGATCATCCCTGACAGGTGTCCGTCCAGCCTGCTCTTAAATATCTCCAGTGATGGAGATTCCACAATTCCATATCATAGCACGGGAAGAGAACTCAAGAGGTCACCAAGTTCATTGCCTGCTATTGCCGCAGGACCAAACGTAATCTAATTTTAAATATCTCCAGTGATGGAGATTCTACAATTCCAAAGCAATTTATTCCAGTGTTTAACCACCCTGGCAAGTAGGAAGGTTTTTTTTTCCAATCTCCAACTCAAACCTCCCATTGCTTCTTGTCCTATCCAAAGAGGCCAAGGAGAACAATTTTTCTCCCTCCTCATTATCACTTTCTTTTAGTTACTTGAAAGCTGTCCTCTTTAATTCTTCTCTTTTCCAAACCAAATAAACCCAATTCTTTCATCTTTTCTAGTCCTTTAATCATTTTGATGCTGTTATCTGCACTCTCTTCAATTTCTCCACAGCTTTCTTGAAATGTGGTGCCCAGAACTGGACACAATACTCCAACTGAGACCTAATCGGCGCAGATTAACATAGAAGATGAATGATTTCTCATGTCTTGCTCAAAACACTTCTGTTAATGCCTCCCAGAAACATGTTTCCTGGTTTTTTTTGCAACAGTGTCACACTGTTGAGAAATGGTCAGAGGTAAACAGGATGAGGTTTAATAAAGAGAAATGCAAAGTGCTCCACTTAGGAAGGAACAATCAGTTCCATACATACAAGATGGGAAGCGACTGTCTAGGAAGGAGCATGGCAGAAAGGGATCTAGGGGTCATAGTGGACCACAAGTTGAATATGAGTCAACAGTGTGATACTGTTGCAAAAAAAGCAAATATGATGCTAGGTTGTATCAACAGGTGTGTTGTAAGCAAAACTCGTGAAGTCATTCTGCCGCTCTACTCTGCACTAGTTAGGCCTCAGCTGGAGTACTGTGTCCAGTTCTGGGCACCACATTTCAAGAAAGATGTGGAGAAATTGGAAAGGGTACAGAGAAGAGCAACAAGAATAATTAAAGGTTTAGAGAACATGACCTATGAAGCCAGGCTTCATGAACTGGGCTTGTTTAGTTTGGAAAAAAGAAGATTAAGGGGGGACATGATAGCGGTTTTCAAATATCTAAAAGGGTGTCACAAGGAGGAAGGAGAAAATTTGTTCCTCTTGGTTTCTGAGGACAGGACAAGGAGTAATGGGCTTAAAGTGCAGCAGGGGAGGTTTAGATTGGACATTAGGAAAAAATTCCTAACTGTCAGGGTGGTCAAATATTGGAATAAATTGCCAAGGGAGGTGGTGGAATCTCCCTCTCTGGAGATATTTAAGAACAGGTTAGATAGACATCTGTCAGGGATGGTGTAGACGGAGCTTGATCCTGCCTTGAGGGCGGGGGGCTGGACTCGATGACCTCTTGAGGTCCCTTCCAGTCCTATTATTCTATGATTCTATGAAAAGATGTTTAATTGTCAACCACTATGACCCCTCGATCCCTTTCTGCAGGACTCCTTCCTAGACAGTCACTTCCCTTTTTGTATGTGGGAAACGGATTGGTTCGTCCTAACTGGAGCACTTTGCATTTGTCCTTATTAAACTTTATCCAATTTACTTCAGATCATTTCTGCAGTTTGTCCAGATCAATTTGAATTATGACCCTATCCTCCAAAGCACTTGCAACCCCTCCCAGCTTGGTAATGTTTGCTGACTTAATGGGTGTACTATGCTAATATGTAAATCATTGATGAAAATGTTGAACAGAACTGGTCTCCAAACAGAATCCTGAACAACCCCATTTGTTATGCCCTTCTAGCATGACTGTGAACCATTAATAACTACTCTCTGAGAATGATTATCTGGCCACTTATGCACCCACCATATAGTAATTTTATTTCTCCTGTTTGTTGATAAGTTCATGTGAACCATCTCAAATGCTTTACTATAGTCTATGTATACCACATCTATCACTTCCCCTTCATTAACAAGACTTGTCCTATCAAAGAAAACGATCAGAGTGGTTTGAAATGATTTGTTGATTACTGTAAATGAGTCTCCCGGAGGCCCCGATGGCACCCGTAGCTCTTCCCCCCAGTCCTGTGCTCCCGTCACCCTGTGAATCACCGTCCAGAGTCCCAGTTAGTTTCACTGTCGGCCCATGGGGCCTCTTCGCGGTTGGAGGCCGCCTAACCTCCCATGGCAGGGAGAGGTGGGTCCGGGCCCGCTCCCTTTCATGGACCCCAGCCCAGGGCCCTAAGGACTCGGACATTTGCGTCGTCCAGTCCGGCTGGCGGGGCGTCTGCCGTAATGCGCCAGCCCGCAGGCTCCCTCTCCCCGCCGGGCCGCTGCATCCGAGATGGCAGCTTACCTCCTTGGTGTGGGTCCCATCCGCTGCGCTGCGAGCTCTCCCCCTCTCCATCCTCCCCCCCTCACCAGCACTGATTAGGGGTTTAAATCCCCGCGCCGCTTCCCACCAGAGGGGGCTCTGCCCCCCGTGCATTGGTCCACTTCCGGCCAGGCAGCGGGGCCGCGTGGCGACATCGCCCCTGTGGTGACGTTACCTGGAATCCCCGGATGGCCCGAGCACCTCACCGCAGCAGCTGCCCTGGAGCATCCGGCACACCTCCGGCCGGCGACCGTTGAGGCCGCTTGGCCTGCTGATCGCGGAGCGGCCAGCTCCAGAGCGTCCGGCTCCGCCCCGAGCGCCGACAAGCATGCGGCCATCAGGGGAACCGGAGTGCGAGGCGCCTCTACCCCCTCACAATTACAAATTCATTCTGGCTATTACCTATCACTTTATTATCTTCCAGGGCTACGTCTACACTGGCCCCTTTTCCGGAAGGGGCATGTAAATTTCACTAGTCGTCGTAGGGAAATCCGCGGGGGATTTAAATATCCCCCGCGGCATTTAAATAAAAATGTCCGCCGCTTTTTTCCGGCTTTTAAAAAAGCCGGAAAAGAGCGTCTACACTGGCCCCGATCCTCCGGAAAAAGCGCCCTTTTCCGGAGGCTCTTATTCCTACTTTGAAGTAGGAATAAGAGCCTCCGGAAAAGGGCGCTTTTTCCGGAGGATCGGGGCCAGTGTAGACGCTCTTTTCCGGCTTTTTTAAAAGCCGGAAAAAAGCGGCGGACATTTTTATTTAAATGCCGCGGGGGATATTTAAATCCCCCGCGGATTTCCCTACGACGACTAGTGAAATTTACATGCCCCTTCCAGAAAAGGGGCCAGTGTAGACGTAGCCCAGATGTTTGCAGAGGAATTCCTTAATTATGTGCCCCATTATCTTTCCTGACAGAAATTAAGCTGACTGGTCTGTAGCTTCCTGAATTGTTCTCATTTCTCTTTTTATAGATGGGCTCTAGATTTGCCCTTTTGCAATCTTCTGGGATCTCTTCCAGACTTAGGAAGGCCTGAAATAGAAAGGTCAGGTCCCAAAAGCTCTTTAGACAGTTCCTGGGCAGCACACACTTTAAAAAGGAACACTGAAAATGACAGGGTTACACCCTAGATTCATCTAACAATGTTCCCTTTTGAGCTCTGAATGAGCAGAAAACAGTCCTAGAAGAAATCATTTGTTTACAGGTTAACCTCTAGCAAGCTGTATGTAAACTATAGACAATTACAGTCCCTATCTTCTGCTAGTTCTTTAAAAACACAGGCCTACATTTCAATACTCCAGCCTATCGACCATGGGGTGGTTCTCCTTCCTAGTCTGAGACTTTTCTAAAGACTGAATCTGGGTCAATGAGTCGGTCAGTTGCTTAGCCCACTCTGGTCATGTGTCATGCAAAAATTTTTTCCAAGCTGGGATCTGTTTGCTTTAAAGAGCATGTACCCCGAAAGAGGGACACTGGAAAGGGAGTGCGGCCCGAGGGAGCAGCTCAGGGAAAGGGGAGCTGAAGCAGCTGAAGAGTGAGCAGGCGCTGAGCTGAAAACAGTCTGAAGTTCTTAATGTCTCCACTCACAGGGGACCCACACGCAACATCTAGACTCAAGATC